CACATTGACAGAGAGTACAACAATGCCGTGGAAAGATACATAGCTATAGCTGTGACAGGTGATAGATGTCTACAAGCGTGCAATTTGTTCATATAATTTTTTTCAGCGAAAGTGGGCAACGTTCTTGATACTTATGCTGTGCAGAGTGTTGCTAAGCTGTCGCGAGAAGTTGACGATATTGATAGGGTCTTCTGTAAGTGACGCCTTTCTCTCCATTGTGGCGCCTTTCTCTCCACTGAGTTTATCCATTTGGGATTTTTTGAAGATAATTATGACTACGGGAGCATAAGCGATCAAGAAGCTGGTAACTTGTGGTACTACTTTCACGATCGGACTTGGAACAAGACGCATTTTCCAAAATCGCTGGACTATGTAGACGTGAGTGATTCTCCATCTTCACTCTATTTTAGTTCTGCAGTGACTCTCAGCGATTTTTTTGCATGAAAGCTAGAGGAACATGTTTATTTTTTCACGTATTCGTTTCTTGTTTATTCAGAGGGCACCACCATTCCTAAACATTGGACTCGAATAGCTGAGGCAGACAATATTGCGTTGCGTTGCGCTGCATTGCGTTTGCCACAGCTTGTATATTGTGACATTGGGGGTAGAGAAGCCGTGGAGAATATCCGCAGAGCAAATTCAGTGCCTGCATGCGCGATGTGCCATATACAGAAGGACTACAGCAAAACCTATGTAAACGACATTCTCTGCAATTCTTTCAAAAAATTGACGCTGCTAGTGAAGCTAGGCATAAGTTTATTTCTTCAAAACCGTTACCTTAAGATTGCCTACCGTATCCTTATCTAAAGCAAGGTCTTTCATTCTAAAAGCTCGTAAAGCAAGCCTCTTCTTCTCAATTGCTATGTGTAGTTCGCGGATTCACAACATCCTGTGAATCAAGCATGATGAATGTTGCTTGCCCATATAATGCGTATATCGTAAGGGCCCTTTGGCATTTTTTGTCCTGAAATCTTTCCTCAGGACAGAAGTTTGAAACACGAACTAGAGATCAAAAAGTAGGCAGGCATCTTCTCTCGTAGTTTGCCTGTGTTCTACAATATTCTATCAAAATAATTATGTAAATTACAGACGATGAATGCCTACTACAATGCTGCTTTGAAACTGCTCAGGGAACAAACGAATCATACGCTTGTTCAACATATGTTCCCTCTTCTCGATAAGAATCCATGGAACGAAAGTGAAAACATCCTTTTACATGGTGGCTTAAGCACTACTGTAAGTTTTCCACTCATGCAAATCCTATGAAGTTCTTGAATTTTTTTTTCTAGATGAGAACAGCTGCTTATCAAGACTTACCTGCATTTCTGGCGAATCTATCACCTCATGATAATGTTGCACAGAATATCGCCGATGGGAAAGGAGTCTTTGGCTTCAAAGAGTCAGTTTGCTTTTGAGCGTTTTGAATATACCTGTAAATCTTGTTTATATAGTATGTTTCCAGAGCGCAAGTGATAACAGCCTTTTTGGAGCAAGTGCGAGATGATTTTCGAAATGGAGTGGAACCGGCTACAGGTGAAGACATGGAAGAATATCTAGCAACTCAGCTGGTTCCTGCGTATAAGTTTATCGAGGTATTACTTGAAACGACTGTATTCTTTTTCGCTCTCTTT